TACTTACTTACTTACTTACTTACTTACTTACTTACTTACAGATTCATATTCTCCCCATATTGGTAAAAACACAATTTTTGCTATAGTAAAGCATCATGGATCTCACAGTATTTATTTTGTCCACCTTAGGACTTCCAGCTGGATGCTGCTGCTGTATACAACAAAGTGGCTAGGCAACTGGTGAAGCAGCAGAGCTACAGTGAGATCAGGCAGCTCATTAAATGTATCAAGGAGTCTGGTGCGGCAGATAAAAATGACGGGGACAATGTCATCCTCAGTTGTTTGGACGAGTTTGATTCTATCCCTGCTGAGGTAACTTTGGTGTCTTGTAGTATTAGGGAAGAGACACAGTCACTTTTTTTATCTCTCCTACATCATTATTGTGTATTTAGAAAGCCAAGAATATGTCTCATTTTGCTAGTGATTCTTTCATAGCCAATGGATGAGTGAGCTATCACCCTCCTTGTTTCTTAAATCTGTAATTTGCTAATGGGATACTCATCTCTGAGTGCTTAAATGAGGAATGTTAGGATGGCTTCATTTGGGAAAGAGTTTGGGGTTTTTTTGTAAACTGACTATACAGGTAAGTGCTTGCCATCCTGCAGAGTTTGAAAGAGGATGCGGGTTGTACCATTTCAGCTAGTTCTGAGCAGCTGAATGTCAGATTTTAGTGCTTGGTGGGCTTTGATTTAATAGGCTTCCTCATTTCCTCCAGTTCTTGAGCTATGAATCACAACAAAGAACAATTCAAATGTTGAAAATGCAGTATGTTTCTGAATGCCACTTGCTGAGAAACCAAATGTTATGTTCATACCATGGCTGTGGGCATCCTTTAGGTCTTATCATTAATCCACCTGGTCCAGTAAAAGCTTCTGATGAAGTAGCTGCCTAATGTGCCTTCTTTCAGTGGGTAGGGCTTTGTTTATAATTGCCCCCTTGTTTCTCTGGTTGCTTCTTAGCAACCTACAAGGGCGTGAGCAACCATGTGCTTGTCAGTTCATCTCACGATCTTTCTACCATTTTTATTTTTTTCCTGGGATCTAGGAGTTGGATAATCTGATCCAGGATATGGACAGTGATGAAAACAAGGTGAGTAAACTAAAAGAATTTTTTTACAGGATATGAAGTAATTTCTGGAAAATCTTGTTTGTGTGTATGGTGTATGTATGTATTTGTTCATTTATTCATTCATTCATTCTTCAGTCTTGTCTCTACTTCTGTTATTCTGGGATTATCATATTCAACAACTATGTGAATATAGTTACTGAAAACTCTTTACTCTATCTAACATGAAGTTCATAATGATGTGTTCTTCTTAAATATTAATAGAAAACTACTTTGAAAGGAGCTCTTCTCATATATTTCCAGAATATATAAAGGTTAAAGGAAAGGAAATATGTTACTCTGCCCTACTCTGAGTTTCAGATCTTGATTCATTAAGTGGCAGGAACTAAAATATCGTACTTACTTACAATTGAATGCCAATAAGTGAACATGGATACTAATAAATCAAGATCTGCAATCACATGAAGACTTTTGCCATTCAGATTCATATGATCTGAAATGGTAGGACAGGAGAAACCAGGAGATGAAAGGCCTACATCATTCTGAACTGTTCAGTCAGTTTTTGATGATGCCATTTGCCCCCTGGTCTTTACCAGCAGCAACAAGAATCTCAAAAAGTTAAGCCTAGAAGGCTTGTGTAGAATTTGGGGTATAAATATTTTGACTAGTAGGCCATGACTGGTAGTATAATGACAGATGAACATTTTGTGTACTCTGGACCATTTATTATTCCACAATCTGATCCTTCCTCTTCTGTTCATGAACAAACCACTGTGTTTTCTAATTCAGTCAATTCCCATTGTAATGGACTGTTACTCTCAGAGAAACCTGCAACTGAAATATTTGCTTTTTATAGAAGACGTTCTATGGAAAGGATATATTTTTGAAATTATCTAATGTTTGTTTTTTGGGGGGGAAACATGATTACATATGAAACAAGAAATTATGAGTTTTTTAAAGTTCTAGGCACAAACTGATTTGTTCAGCATCGACCTATTTTAATAAGCCCAACATACAAGCCTTTGTAATGCATTCAAATGCCTGACCCACAGACCAGCTCTGTCATCTTTCTAAATGTGTGGGTTGTTTCAGCCTTTACACACAATCCCTGCTGCCTTCCAGAAGACAAGCAAGTATCTTTTGGCAGTGATCCCAAAAGAATGCTCTTCCAATAAAGGAAAGAAAGATGCGTGTCTATAGGGGCTTGCTGATCCCCACTTCCCAGTGCAATCCCCTTTTACACACCTCTTGGTCTTCTACAGACTCACCAAACTCAAGAACAGATTTTGAGCTGAAGTTCATATCAGAAGCTTTATTGGGAAGGAAGTGAAAGAGAACTGGCCCATCCCATGAGCAAAACTCTTCTTAGAGAAGTTCAAATCACATGTTTTTCCTTTCTGTTTCAGATTCAAGCATACTTGAAATGCCATAAACTACGCTCTGCCTATCTTGTCTCAGTAAAACAAGACAATGCAAGAGCTGTGCAGCTGGTCCAACATGTACGGCAACTGGCAGAGGATGGTGGGGATGATGTAGTGCAGGCCATCTGCATCCAGTGGCTTTCGGTGCATCATACTAAGCCAAGAAGCTGGCTTAGCCAAAATCCCATGAAATGACTCCCAGAAAGTTGTTGGGATGTTGTTCCTATAAAGGGAAAACTTTACTTGGGC